AAAAATATTACCTCTTTGGTTTAGTATTTTAGGGGGGGTTTCTTCATTTATTTTATATAGAAATTATAGTCGTAATCTATTTCTTTTTAAAAGAAAGTATAAAACTTAAATTAGAATAATCTGTTTGAATCTTAGAGTTGCGATGCGCATGGTTGGGTACATTGTGATTTTCATATGTTGGGCATTGAGTTTGGATAATCTAAGAATTCAGCACGCCGAATGGTTCAGTTGACATCGTTGGACCACTGCTAGCACTGCTGTCGAAAATCATGGGGGGGGATGAATGTGATTGTGATGCCATGATCCTCGTCGCGGTACAAGCAGCGTTCTAGCAGACGTTCGGGTTTGGTTTTTGTTCATTTTGTAAACGTTTTCTGCGTTTTACCTGCGGCTTTCGGAGATAAGTTCATGATATTTGTTTGTTTCCTCGTTGTTAGTAGAGTTGTGCCTTGCATGTATTGCTGTAGGACGGATTGAGTTCCATGGTCGGAGATATGTTGAAGGGGAGATGTCAATCGGTATATGTTTTGTATTCTGTTTCTTGCAATCCAGACGAAATACTGGATGGCTTGCATTTTCTGTTTCGGGAGTTATTGCAGCAGGAGGGCTGTTAAGGTTTTATGTTTTGGGAGATATTGTGGCCAGGGGCTGCTAAGAAATTGATGTTGTCTCTTTGTTTGAGAAACGGCTTAATTGGTGAAAGTTTCCTCTGGCGTTTAAATATGCGCCGGGTTTTTAACCTTTGTCTCTTTTGCCGTATTTGGTATTTTGATATATTGAAGGAAGGAATTGGCATATTTTGGTAAGACATGGTTGAGGCCTATGTGCTTCCGAAGCTTATTTGAGATTGGTCAATGAGCTGAAACATGGTTTTGTGCGAGGATCTTGTCCGAAGTAATAGTTGACACGCTTTTCCGGAGTTGTCCGTCCAAAGTCTTCATGACGTGACTCTGATGTAATGTTGATCTTTGCGGAGTATTTTTCTAAGGATGATTCTTGGTTTTTGGCTGCTTGAGAATTTGGTGACGACATTTTCTCGAGAGGGATGATTGTTAAGACTCTAGTGAAGTTCCAACATACGTAGTGGATTAAGGAGGAATAGTAACTTGAAATTTGAATATTCAATAGATCGGGAAGTTGAGATGATTTGTGAATATGAAAGATGAATGGTTTTGGTTTTGTTGCCGTTTTACCTGGCGATATGTACGGAAGGTTCGTAGATCGTATCTCGTACCGAGTAGGGGGGCTGGTTGTGTATGTACTCGGCAGGATAAAGATCTCCGAGATATCCGAGGGGGTACGCATATATGATAGGTTTGGGTATATGCAGACGTGTGTGCAGCAGCAGGTCCTTCTTGCCTGCTGCTCATGCTTGTCACTCGTTAATAGTTAATCAAGGAACTTGAGTCACTCCTTTGTGCAACACGCTCTCGACAAGAGCCCGCGAGCGTGATAACATAGTACACGCGCCGACACCCCAAACACACAGTCTCCAGAAATCTCCAAAGCCATGTTCTCTCGTTGTCCACGGATGAAGGCTGATGTCCTAAGAGGAGGTTGCCTTGATCCCGTGATGCTCGCAGCTCGTCGTGTGTGCGTTACCCGAGGCTCATAACCTGTCAGCGTAATTTCGCTGTGTACTAGCAGCAGTACGATGCTCCAGATGCCAGGAGGCTGTGTAGCCTACCTCAGAGGTTCACACTCTGTGCGGCTCCAACCGCGAGAGACTTGGAATGGAGATATGAAGATGTTCTTATTAATTGCTGACTTCTGAGTCAGATTGATGTTGCTGGTACTGAAGAGGAGTGAGAGGGGTGGGGAGCTTGGGCTGCACCACTCTCCTCGAATAAAATAAGCCAATCATACGAAAGATCTAGAATGCTTCCAGAAGGATTCTGAAGCACTCCTACGTTCTAGAAGAGTATCAAGTGCAACCTACGTCTAGAACGCTTCCAGAAGCTTACAGGAGGTTCGAGAAGGTTTCCGGAAGCTACACACGGCTCCATGAGCTCGCGAGGAAGAAGAGTACTGCGGTGTTCGCGTGCTTCGTCGACCTCACCAAGGCATACGATTCGGTGGACCGAGACCTACTGTGGGACGTGCTGCGACGCTTCGACGTGCCCCCGAAGATGCTGGCGGTCATTCGCCACTTCCAAGAGGGCAGGAGGGCGCGCGTCCGAACGAACGACGGACAGTACTCGGAATGGTTCGAGGTGGACCAAGGCCTCCGACAGGGATGCAAACTGGCCCCGCTGCTGTTCAACTTGTTCTTTGCCGCGATGCTCATGGTCGCCGTGGCCGAGTTCGACAAGGACCCCAAGGTGACGACGCACATGGTCAAGATCGGGACACAAGCGGAGTACACGGGCAAGAAGGGCAGGTCGGCGGGGAAGAAGACGACGGTGGTGACGGACGCGGAGGCCTTGTGGGCCATGCTCTACGCTGACGACGCGGCCATCGTCTCGCGCTCGCCGGAGAGTCTCGAGAAGATGATGTCGGTCATCGTGCGCGTGGCCGGCCTGTTCGGACTGATTGCATCGGAGCAAAGACGGAGATCATGTGCATGCTGCCGAAAGGGATCGAGGAACGCCCGTTCACGGTCAGCGCCGCCGGCCAGACGTACAAGCAGACAGATCGGTTTGTGTACCTCGGACGTACCATTGTCCTTTGTATTGCCTTCGGCCTCTGTGCTGTGTTTCTGTGTTTCATTTTTTCATGACCTCCCTGCCTACTGTGTTGGGTACCGTGATCTCGCTTTGCTGTTGCCTTTGTTTTTGTACGTCTGGTTGTCTGCCCACCTGCCGCCTCTTTGTCCTGTTTGCTCCGTTACTCCCATGCCCTGGTGCGTAGTGCCTGGTGCTGGTACGTTACCGTTTGATTTTTTCTTTGGGCGGGTGTGGGAAGCGTCCTCCTTTATTTTTGTTTTTGTCTTATTTTGATCGGTTCCGAGGACTCTTTTCTAGAACGGTCGGTGCGATACCTGTTCTTTTCTTTCTATCATTTTGTTTTCGTTTTCCGAGTGGTTTGCACCCGATTTTTGTTTTGTTCCCCCGCGGCGTCGTGTGTGCCGGGTTTTGAGACCACGGGCTCCCAAT